TCAAGGCAACACTTCTCAGGTCATTGCGATTTACAATCTCACATTATCAAAATTAATCTAGTTTTAAGTTGCACAAAAAAATGTTGACAGATATGACTCCCTGTGAATGATCAGAAGCATATCAAATCCTTACATCTCTGGCATTCACTGACCCAGCGGAGCCAAATTTTACAAACTTTACAATGTTTCTGATTGGAAAGGAAGAATCACGATATTGGTTCCATCTCTAGTAGGACCGAAGGGATGCAATCTCTAATTCTAATGTCTTTTGGGATACAAAACATATGAGCTTATGTAATTCCACTTCGTAGGTGAGAAAAGGCAATGAATTCCACCAGTTCGATAAAGACCGACTCTGAAGTTCAGTTACACTCCAGTCGAGATCATTCACCCAGTTGAACTTAAGCCAAACGACTTAACGATGGTGCTCACCCTTTCTGCAAAAGTTTTTGAGGTTATCTTTTTACCTGGCTCATGAAATGGGTTTGAAATTGCATCCACATAAGCAGCATGAAATCTCCTGAAAAACTATACGACAAACGAACCAATCAGAGGGCTTATCTAAACTTGGTTGCATATATAGACCACAATCACTAAAGAGAGCATCGTGGAAGGACAAGGAAGCAAAACGAATTTAGAAAAATGGAGCAATCCAAACAATTATAGCATGCTTACTTTCAAAAAATATAACATCTGCCCTACAGTTATCGAAATAAGTAAATCATGACGGGATTAAGCATTTCTTATCAAGGGATGCTTTAAATGCATGCAAATAGAACTCCTGCCTCAATATTATATCTAACTCATGCTCACGAAGGTTAAGCAAGGACAAAGGTCGATCAAGAGCTCTTTCAATCTTTCAAAATAGATTCTATCTCAATCACTCTAGAAGTTCACATTATATTAGATATTTTCAACTATCTAGTCAGGTTACTTTAGCACAAGGACTGGTTGCCATACCTGTTAGTTGCATCCTCATGGACTGGTTTTATGATTTTCAAGGTGGCATTTAAATCTTATTTAATTAATGCAATAAACAACTCTGTATAATGTAGCTGAAAGTAAAGGTATGCAGTTTTAGTTAAGCGCATAACGTCACTTCCTTTTCACATCACCAGACTGGAACAGAAGGATGAAATCTATAATATCTATTTGCCACTCAGATGACAAAACCAATCTTGCATTTGTGCTCAATGAAAAAGTAAAAAAGTAACATAACTCATCAGTCAACTCCCTTTAAATCTACACAATCCTCCTAAGCTCAAATGCCCTAAATAATATTCGGGGTTCCATTTCTTCCAATAAAACTTGCATCATTCGCTTCCTATTTTAAGTCATTTCCCCATAAAACAAAATAAATAAAACTTGTTTCAGAAGGATGCACATAAACTTAAGAAAAACATTCAGATAATCAGCTAAGAAACCAATTTATGCTAGAAAACCTCTGTTCACTAGGCTAATAACTTAAATATGATGTCGTAAAATCGATGAAATATTGCTGAGTAAATGCCGCATCATGTTTAATTTTTTGCATAATGAGTTCTTTAGGAAGGTCCAAAACTCAGAGCCATACTCACATTTCTAACATCTGCATCCTTGACATCAAGATCAGTAGTTACCAAGATAAACTTCACCTTCGTATTGGTTAAATAGCCATACCTGCAAACAATATCACCATGTAAGACCAACATAACGCAATATACTGGTACTAAAAAAAAAAAAATCAAAGACGAACAAAAGAAAAAAAAAATACTCACACTTTGTAATTTTCAGTTGGATAAAGCAGACCCAAGAATGTCTCATTCAAGGTCGGTCCAGCCTTTTTAGGATTGTTCACTGCAAAATCATACCCAAATTCACAAACATACTTGAATCCAAACTTCAATACAAAAACCCCAAACATCAAAATCCTAATTTTGAGCTGAATAAAGCAGACCCAAGAAAGTTTTTCATTCAGCAATATCATCATACACATATGATTTCAGTGTTTCGTGTATTTCAAAATCCTAAAAGCACCCAATTCATAACTATTTACCAGAACCCAGAACTGAAATTTTCAAAATGTAAAAGAGACCCAGATCCGAATTTTTGTTTTACCTCGCTCGTCGACGACGTCGAGGGAGCAGTGCACGATGTGGTGGAGCTTGAGGGCGTCATCGGCGTCGGTGAAGCTTTGAATGTAGAGTGGGTTGTTCTGGTGGCCGACGACGGCGACGCAGACAATCATCTTCTCCGGTTCAGTTTTCCGTTTATTTGCTTCAGTGGTGGGAGCGATAAAATGCCGCGTTTCGACGTTGTCCCGGGCTGCGTTACGACGTCGTTGTGAATATATGAGTTGGTCGATCTACACCGTCTAAATCTACCCGGGCCTTTTAACTACATGTACCGCTCATGTTTTGGGCCTAGGCCTCAGGCCCATTGTTCTGCTTGATTTTTTGATTATTTTGCTTTGATGACATTTAATTATGTAGAAAATATAAGGGCTAACATCAAAACACCCACTCAATATGGGCCCGAATTTCAATTTCTTCGATCTACTCTATATACTATGATTTTTAAATCTGACCAATTTAAAGCCTTATGTTAAACTGACCGTTTGATCAGACGTTAACTAATGACGTGTCCACTATGAATCCTATCATTTTGTCCCATGAATTATCATGTGAGTATAAAATTATCTCTATAATTTTTTTTTTGGTAAATTAAGGGCATGAGTGATAAATCAAGAGTAAAGTGGTTTTTTATCCCCAAAAAAATAGAGATTTGTTTTCCATTGATTTTGAGGATATCCTAAGTTCATATTTTATGGACGATTGTTGTATTATAACAAAAAATAATATGGTTGGGGGTGATTTTAATGCAATTTCATATATACATTTATGAAACTTTTAAATAATAGTGAAAAATAAAAGCTTTTTTCACTCTAAATTTTGACTCTTTTTTTTTAGTACAAACAATAATATAAATTATAAGAGGAGGGGGGAAATGATTTCTCACACACACTATTAATGTGTCATGGGGGTTCAAACCTGAAATCACTAACCTGCAACTTAAGGCATTTTCATAAGAGTTTTTATCAATAATAGCCAAAATTTACACCCAAATTTCATAAATGTCAATTTTTATAAAAAAAACTTTCAACTATAGCCAAAAATCGACTTAAATTGACACAAATACCCTCAAAATTAAAATATAATTACCCATAAAACCAACCTCTTCGCATTATCTATATTACTAAAACAACAAAACAAAAAGAGGAATTTTTTTCCACAAACGAAGACTAAAGTCCCAATTATGCTGCTTTTTAATTATCACCACAAACACAAACATAGAACCTCAAAGATTGACCATGAAGAAATTCAAAATCCCATTTTGTTTTTGCTCGACTTTTGTAGATCTAAAACTTCCCCTTTCTAATAATAAAAAACCTTCAACCAAAAACAATGGAACCCATATCAAGAGAAACACAGCAAAATCGCAACAATATTTGCCTTATGTTGGTTTTTATGTTCCAAAAGAATACAAACACAATTCATTTTATTTAATTTAAGAGAGTGCAAGGGAGATATTATTATATTTATACAGTTTGAAATTAAAAGGAAAAATCACATACGACAATGCAGAAGCATTTTATTCAACATCAGATAACGGATTAGAAAAATATGGTATTTTAGTTTTAGGGTGAGAGAAGAAAGAAAAGCGATTGAATTTGTCAAGTCCATCAAACTTGAAATAAAATTGGGGTTTTGAGTTTTTAAGTAGAGTTTAGGGTTCATCGCCATAACTGGCCACCGTAGTTGTGAGTAAGCTTGGGCACCTAGTTGTGAGTTATTTGATTTGTAAGTTTTTTGTTATTTGGTTTAATTTTGAGAGTATTTGTGTTAATTTAAATGAGTTTTTGGCTATATTTGAAAGTTTTTATAAAAACTGACATTTATGAAATTGGGGTATAAATTTTACAAATTTATAAATAAACCCAATCCTAGACATGTATTTATAAAAAAAACTCAAGCACTATTTAAACATAGAAACACACCCAAAATTAACCCCAAAGTCAACTTTTTGGGTGTGTTTATAAATGGGTTTTGAGTGTGTGTAATGATGGGTTTTGGGTGTGTTTATATGTTTAAATAGTGCTTGGGTTTTTTTATAATTTCAACCTCCATTTTGGGTGTTTTAGTGAAAGTCCCTATAAATTTTGGCTATTATTGATAAAAACTCTTTTCATAAGGTTATACCCGTTAGCTACTCCAAGAATTGTAATATGTTTGTCTAAGGATGACGTATTGACTTAAAACAGTCCAAAGCTAACTTTGAAAGGCTTTATACTGCCTTGAGGGAAAAGGCTACCTTGCCTTGCCCTTAAAACTCTAATCCCAATTTCCGGGGCCCAAGAAAGCACAATCTATTTCTTTGCTTAAAGTCTTTCACCTATAAATCATATTTAAAATCAATTAAGAATTTGAACAAATTTTAGGCTTGAACGAAAGGAACAATCAGAGTGAAAAAAAGGACCAAATATACCACTTATACCCCCACTTTTGCGAGAAATTATAGAATACTACGGTATTACGATCACGTAGTACATTTTGTACCCATATTATAATATGAGTGGACGACGAAATTTATTTTCTCCCTTTTTGGAGAATAGTATCTATAAATATCTAACACGTGTACAAGACCATACTATCATAGTATTCTATAATCTCTTTATTTTTACAATATTAACTATTGGTATGTTCCTCACATCCAATGGTGGCAAGTATTTATCTTTAAAATTTTAATTGAAAATATTTAGTGATTTTTTTTGCTCCTTTGTCAACTCATTGTTATATTGAATATAGAAAAAATATATACAAATAGAGAATGAAAAATAAGTTCGAATCCCATTATACCACCTCTCTCAAATATTTTTATTTTTATTTTTTTAAATTAATCTTTGAGTGAACAGTAATTAAATATCATAATTATTTTTTAAATGGAAGGGCGTATCTAAAATCACCAACAATCAAATTACGAAACCACCCTTATGCCGCTTCCAGCTCCGCCCTCTGCATTATATTCTCCACGACAAATCACAATACCCTGGGAGCCCCTCTCCGTTCAAAAAATCACAAAGCTTTTTCTATTCTCTGTTCGTCGTCTTCTTCTTCTTCCTTTATCAGACTCATCTCTGTTTTTCTCTGCTCAAACTCTCAGATTTTCATTAGGTAATTTTCGCATAACCCCTTCCTTCAATCCTCTAATTACATATAGCTCCAAGCTCCTTTTTTTGTATTTTTTGATTAATCATTTTCCTTTTTATCAAGTGATTTCAATCTCGATTGGGTTGGATTGAAATCTATGATATATAAAAAATATGTAATCTAATGGAGACGTTATTGTATGCGGATTTTTGCTGATATGGTTTTTCCATTGTTTCTTTATATTTAAAATCGAGTGCTTGGCTCGTCTGCTAAATGTGAGCTGCTCGAAGGTTTCTTAGCTGCGATTTTATTGATAAGATTACTTTTTCTATTTATCCAATACCCACCCTCTATCTTATTGAATCCGGTTGGACCGTTGGGTTCCACGTTCATATCTGATGATTTTCACCTTTGGATGTGTTTGTAAATTTTTTATAGCTTGACGTGATTTGATTTTGAGGTTAACTCTTCAGTTTCTTATGTTGGATGAAGATCAAGTATTTGCATCTATGTTTTTTCAATTATTTATTTTTGGGGTGAGACTTTTAGAAGTATTTTATTAGTATCCATCTGGGGCATAATCAATTAACAGGCATTAAGTGTTAATCTTTTGTACGTATATATTTTTTTTATGAAGAACTTAGAAAAGTAACTCAGTTTGCTGGTTAAGTAGTAATCCACATAACTCTTTATTTTCCCAGAAGCTTTATGAAGAGGGAAATCATATGAGTTTAGCTTTATGATTATTTAAGTACGAAAAATTTAGCAAGGTGTTTCCTCTCTCTTAAGAAGATGATAAATCTCAAATTTTTGTCGCTTTTTTGGTTATATCAGCTGGACAATAAGACCACATTTAGCGTGTGTTCTCAGATTTTTGGATGGGAACTAAGCAGCATGACTCCGTTTTTAAAGAGGATGTGCCCACTACTCTTGACCGTGATAATAATTCTTTGAGTCAGGTTGATTCTTCAACAAGTGCAGTTCTATCTGATCCAAATGTAAATAATGAAAGCAATGAAGTTAAAAAGTTGAGTGAGGTTGTCAGTAACATTAACAATACCCCATATATCTATAGGCAAGACGTTGTGAGGAGCAAGAGTGGTATGATTGGGATTGTGACTGAAGTTGCCGGTGATTCAGATTCTGATAGCAGCATCACTGATGATGAGGATGATGATGAAGATGACGACAACGATGATGATGATGATGATGGTGAAAATGAGGAAGAAGCTCGTAACGATAATACTACTCATGGGAATGGTGACAAGAACAAAAGTGGTGGTAATGATAAGAATCAGTTGTTGATCGAGGATTCTTACATGGGGATTTTGTTGCTGCTGCGTCTGACCCAACTGGGCAAGTTGGTGTTGTGGTGGATGTCAATATCTCTGTAGATTTGTTAGCTCCTGATGGATCAGTCATAAAAGATGTATCATCTAACAACTTAAAACGTGTGAGGGAGTTCACTGTGGGTGATTATGTGGTCCTTGGTCCCTGGCTAGGTAGAATTGATGATGTTTATGATAATGTGACAGTTTTGTTTGATGATGGTTCTGTGTGTAAAGTTATGAGAGCAGAACCAATGGATCTCAAACCAGTTTCCAAGAATATGCTTGAAGATGTGCATTTCCCTTACTACCCAGGACAGCGTGTGAAGGCAAGGTCATCGTCAGTTTTCAAGAATTCTAGGTGGCTATCTGGCTTGTGGAAACCTAATCGTCTGGAAGGTACTGTTACCAAGGTTACAGTTGCATCAGTATTAATCTATTGGATAGCCTCTGCTGGCTGTGGGCCAGATTCTTCTATTGCTCCTGCTAAAGAGCAGATTCCAAAGAACTTGAAACTGTTGTCTTGCTTTACACATGCAAATTGGCAATTGGGTGATTGGTGTCTTTTCCCCCCATCAGTGTCATCATCTTCCATTCCCTTAGACAAGGGTTTGTCAAAATTAGAACTTCATGATTCTGTAAACGGTGAGTTAGAATCTGCTCAAATAGGTAGTGGGTGCGATTCAGAAGAGAGTGCACTAGAAGAATCAAATAGAAATAATGAATCCATGGATCTTGATCCAGTGTCTGTATTAGATGGAAACAATGAAAATACTGGAATGAATACATCTATTGATTCTAGTTCCTGCTGTAGTTCATTGTCAGTTTCAAAGGAGCCTGTCAATGAAACTTGGCCTCTTCATCGCAAAAAGATCCGCAAAGTTGTGGTTAGGAGAGACAAGAAGGTGCGGAAGGAAGAAAGTTTTCAAAGATCCTTTTTGATTGTGAATACCAGGACAAAAGTTGATGTGGCATGGCAGGATGGTACAACAGAATGGAAGCTGGACTCAACAAATTTAATTCCACTTGATAGTCCTGGTGATCACGAATTTGTTGCTGAACAGTACGTGGTGGAGAAGGCATCTGATGATGGTGACGATGCTGGTGAAGATAGACGTGTTGGGCTTGTGAAAAGTGTCAATGCCAAGGAGCGAACAGCTTGTGTAAGGTGGTTAAAGCCAATTTCCAGGGCGGAAGATCCTAGAGAGTTTGACAAGGAGGAAGTTGTGAGTGTCTATGAGCTTGAGGGGCATCCGGATTATGATTACTGTTATGGGGATGTTGTTGTTAGACTGTTGCCAGTTTTTTTTTCTGCTCAGACTGCTTCAGGAACAGACTTTGATGAGGAACCAAAGCAGCAAGATATTCCAAGTGAGCTTAGATCTGCTTGTAAGAAAAAAGAAGATCCATCTAGCAATGAAGCTTGTGTGGACTTCTCAGATCTTTCTTGGGTTGGAAATATAACTGGTCTTCAGAATGGGGATATTGAAGTTACATGGGCTGATGGCATGGTGTCTACGGTATGTTCATTGCCTGATTTCAAATAATCACTTTTGTTTTCTTCATGATTTGTATGTCAATCTTAAACCTCAAACTCTGTAACTTAGACTTATCAGATTCACAACATCAGTACTATATACTCTCCTGTGTATAAAATGGTTCAATTTAAAAGGTTGAGGGTATCTGTTATTTGAATTGTTAAAGTTATGTTGATTAGGCCAAAGAAACTTGTGAAAGGGATGTAAACCTTGTGAAATAAACCTGTTTTCCAATAGAGTATGAGAGAAGAGTAGGAACTCATGGGAAATTTCTGATGGTAAGAATAGTATCGTTAGCTGTGTAAAACAAAATTAGGATCTTTTGAATATTTTGGGCTTGGATTATTACTTGAGAATTAAGAAATAAAAATGAAAATCTTGGTTCAAACTGCTCAACCTTGATGTGCGGCATAAGTATAAATAAGTTTGTGCTTGTTTTTTATATATATTCGTACTTAACATTTTATGGAAGAGTTCCAATTATTGTTGATTCAATTACTTGTTTCTTTGATTTGTTACTAGGTTGGACCTCAAGCAATTTATGTTGTTGGTCGAGCCGATGATGATGAGTCAATTGGTGCTGGGAGTGAGGTTAGTGATGCTGCTAGTTGGGAAACAGTGAATGATGATGAGATGCATGAACTATTTACCCCTGAGGGTACAGAAGAGGTTTGTTTCTGTTCGAAATAATAGTATTTTTCACCAAATTTACAATCAGATGTCTGCCAGAAAAGTTACAACCAAATTTACAGAAGAGGTTTGTTTCTGTACAGATGTCTACAAAAAGAACTCTAATGTGTAGCACTCTCATATGGGGTTGAAATAGTTATTCAAGATGTAGTTTGCTCAACTGGGATAGAGGTTTTGACTTTTGACATTATTGTATTCTGGAAGATCATGACCTAGCATGTTTTATACCTTTGGACCAGTAGGCCTTATTGTTCTCCCTTCCCTTTAAAAACATGGGTACTTGAATTTATCTTTATTGTCTTTCAAAGCATTATTAAATTGACAGACTGGGTACTTGAACTCATCATATTGGGAGACTGATTCTTTTTTCGTATCTGCGAGTCTGACCATCAAAAGTTTGATTCCTCCACTAGATGAATTTATTCTTTTCCTTGATTATAATTGGATATTGAAGACCTTACATATACTCGATTATTTGTGTGATTTTTTATTGTTGAATAAGATGAGCAAGTTTTTGATGTTCAGGAAGTTGGGCTACAAAATGCCTTTGATATTAATACTGAACCAGAAGAGAGTGAAGAGAACAATTCTGGAATTAACCCAGCTTTGTCCGTCCCCTTGGCTGCACTTCGGTTCGTTACCAGACTTGCAACTGGTATATTCTCAAGGGGTCAAAAGAATTTGGATTCAATTTCTTTGGATGCTGATGGTGAAGGTGAATTTGAGCCTCGTGAAGTGGAAATTTCTCAGGGAAGAGATCATGGTGAAGATTCCAGCTCTCAAAAATCTAACGTGGTGGATACTTGTGGTGTGGAAATAAATAAGGGAGAAGAAGAAAAACATGTTTCCCCCCAGACTGCAGAAGTGTTGGATGCGGCAGAAATCCTATATAACTTGAGGACTGAAGAATCAGATGCTAAAGAATGTAGGAAGGATGATGCTTGCAGTTTCAAACGCTTTGATATAGCCAAAGACCCTTTGGACCATCATTTTCTTGGTGCAGCTGGGCAGGTATTTTTTCTATTTCAATTCCAACCCCAATGTCCCTTTGTGTATTAGCATTGTGGCAGGACTGTCAGTTAAATCTTGAAGGATTCCTCATTCAGCATGCATGGACATACTATAGATTAGTTATAATAAAGTATAAACTAGGAGTTTATCTTTAGGAAAAGAAAAGAAGGAAGGAAAATGATGTGTTTAGGATATTTCGATCTAATAATGAATTTGTCCATTTGATTTCCATTTTTCTTTTCCTGCTATATTTTTGATTTGACAATATGAAGATAAATGAACTCGAAGTTCTTATGTCAAGAGACTTGCCCGTCATTCTATACTGACCTTGTTAATTGGTTTAGTCATTTTATTTGCGTATTGGCCATATGTGGTTGTTGACCGGACTGCTCTTTATATTTTTAACCTGTTTTTCACATTAAATGTACTTACAGAATACCAGTGGAAGAAAGTGGTTAAAGAAGGTTCAGCAAGATTGGAGCATCCTTCAAAATAACCTTCCTGGTAAGAATTGGTGTCTTATTTTTATTCTCACTATCTGTCCCAGTTTAGCAACACTTGGTTTTAACAGTAAAATTTAAACAGATGGGATTTGCGTACGAGTTTATGAAGATCGAATGGATCTCTTGAGGGCAGTTATAGTTGGGGCTTATGGGACTCCTTACCAAGACGGCCTCTTCTTTTTTGATTTTCACCTCCCTCCAGAGTACCCTGATGTTCCTCCGGTTAGAACTACTATCTAATTTTTGTTAATCGTTGGTTAAGCTATAATTTATTTTTATCATTTAATTAGCCAATTTGTAACATTCTCTTTGGATTTGATGCAAAGAAAATGTCATTTCCTCTGGTTCTCTGAATAAATTTGTGATGTTACAGACAGCATACTATCATTCTGGTGGCTGGCGGATAAATCCAAATCTATATGAAGAAGGCAAGGTGTGCCTTAGTCTTTTAAATACTTGGACTGGCAGAGGAAATGAAGTATGGGATCCAAAGTCTTCTAGCATCCTTCAAGTGCTTGTTTCACTCCAGGGGTTGGTGCTAAATTCTAAGCCATATTTTAATGAAGCTGGCTACGACAAGCAGATTGGGACCGCTGAAGGAGAGAAAAATTCATTGTCCTACAATGAGAATACTTTCTTACTGAACTGCAAGACAATGATGTATCTTATGCGGAGGCCACCGAAGGTGATGTTTCATATTTCGAATATTCAATTTTCCATTATAAGATTCTATTCTCTTTATGCATGTCATATATATAGTTTTCCGTTATCTTTGTTTCATTAAAATTTTCTTGGTGATAAGGATCCCATCCTCAGGTGGTCCCATATTAGTTGGATTTTACTCAATCGGTTCATAGAATTTTCTTTGTTGTGTGTCTGATCATATACATCCTACCCAGTTGTAGCTTTGGCTATGGCTCTGGGTCCCAGTCACCTATGTGTAAATCTACCATACTTTTAAATAGAAGATGATGGTGCAGTCTTATGTGAATTAGATTCGGTATTGAGTTGGGTGTGCGCCTTGAAATAAGTGGTATGATACGAGCACTATGAATATACATGGTAGGAAAGGAAGTTTATATGCCTGCCATGGCATCATGTTAAGTTTATCATGTAAAATATTTCCACCAAACTATATCATGTATAAGTTATCACCAAACTATATCATGTAAATATTGAGCTTATTTGATGTTTGTTAATACTTGCTTGTTAAATACTTGGAGACCACTCTTCATGTTCTTCTTGTGCTGACTCTCAGTCAAGGCTGGATCCATTGTTTAGCAGTATTATTCACATTTCAATGTCATGTACAGGATTTTGAAGAGCTTGTCAAAGATCATTTCAGGAGGCAGGGTTATTATATCTTGAAGGCCTGTGATGCATATATGAAAGGGAATTTGATTGGCTCTCTCACTAAAGACGCCTCTGCTGTTAAGAGCGATGTAAATTCGACCTCGGTTGGTTTCAAGTTGATGTTAGCTAAGATTGTGCCAAAGCTCTTCTTGGCTTTGAGTGAGGTTGGAGCAAATTGTCATGAATTTAAGCATCTGCAACAATCATAGCATAGGTTTGAAGATGCAATTTGCCACTGGATCCGTCAAGCCAACACGGTCAATCTGTTTTGATTCATTGTTGTTTCCTAAACAATTGAGATACTTGTCAATGTAAAGGTTCTATTAGATTTCAATTTTTTTCTTTTCTTTTACTCTCAATAGAAATTGAAAGCCTTGTCTATTTTAGGCTGTGGGGATTTGCTATAGCAAAGTTGCTGGCTGGCACTCTCGGTTTTTGGTAAACGGTAATTTTCTACGAGGAGCAAAATTGGCTGCTAGCCTTTGTTGACATAACTTTTGGTACGTTTTTGTACGGGGATTTCTGCGATTGCAAAAGCTTTACCTTTTGTCTGCTCATTTGTTCAGGATTTCAATGGATTGTATTGAATTTAAAAAAAATAAATGGCTTCAAATAATTATATATAATTTACCATGTGAAATGGCTTCTCATACTTCAATTCCTTAGCTCACTTGTTTATTTTGAGTCATTACAGAAAAACCAAAATACATCTTCTCTTCCAGGCATCACCAGCTGTGTGTTCTATTCAATATTCAAGAATTTTGAACAAACTTTTTTTAAAGAATGCTTTCTTAGTCCTTGTAGAAATCAAACTTTTTGATGACCTTTTTCGGAGGGGCGATAGTATACTAAATTCACTGTCACACACACTATATGAATGCTAGGACTTGAATCCAGAACTTTTCTTGGAGGAGCAATTACTCCAAACCACTACACTAGTGGGTCCTTTGAGGCTGGACTTGAGTTAAATTTGCCATTTTATACCTGAATCAATTCAATTAATCCATTGAGCTTCAGCTTTAAACTTTTCGTTTTTACCATGTAGTGCATCTAATTGCAGATAGTGTCAATTTAAAATCCACCTCGTTGGAAAGGGAACTCGAAAGGTGCTTTTCCACTTTACAATAAGACATGTTTATCATGTAGCCTTTACCAGTTCCATAATTGTAATCATAAACCAGACAATTTGCCCAGTGTCCATTCAGTAATTTTACCAAATAGACGTCGAGCCTTGTAGCATGAACTTGTAATTATGTATGACATTAAAGTGATTGGTTATCTATACTGTTGTATTAGAGCGGCTTCCAGTACGGTGTGTACCCAATGTGCAGCAAAGTTTGAGTATTTGAACGTGTAACATGTACATTATTAATAAGAACAAAATAAGTTTAGAGTGGTGATTTCCCCACTCATTTTTCTCCTATTTTATCCACTTACGCTCCTTTTTTATAACTAAAAAAGGAGTATAAGTAGATAAAATAGGAGTAGGAAAATCATTGCCCTAAGTTTAATATCACACATCCAAATCTAGTTTAAAAAATAATAATAGTGGGATTGGAGAACCCATTTTTAGCAATAACATAATTCTCTTCTCACTGGTTTGGAACAGGTGCATTGTTCCCCTGCAATGCTTAAACTGAATCTGCTTTCACTACTCTCTGCAAACCGGTGGATTCCACGTGTTGTCGTCATTGATAATTACTAAAACTTTCATGGCTGTTATGGTCCCAGTGCTCCTTCCCCTGATATGCCACAAGAAAGATAGAAGAGTTTCATGCTAAAGCACCCCAGCAAGCAAGATTGTATCTGCATTGCTATATATTAATTGCAAGGTTAGGTTTTGTGGTTTCTGATTTTAAAGATAGTAAAGGCCTTTGTGCGGGAGCATAGCTTGCACAAACATCAAGTTATCAAAGCAAGTGAAATTTACACAAATGGGAAATGTATCTTCTTCAAGCTTTATGCAGTACAAGAATGTAGATGTGAAATTTTGATTTCATGAACTTCTAAGAATTTCTCTAAAATCAAATGACAACAAGATGAACACTAATACCATTACAAATTCCATCACGTCAGAGATGATGTCTTCTAGAAATAAGCATCCATGCCCAAGCATATCATCTTCATCTTTTAACTCAAGGTTTCTATGTGTTTTTATATACCCCCGATTACAGACTTTCTGATGCTAATAAAATTTTTTGAACCCTCAAGGATTCAGATAAACTAGATTATCAGCATCTGAAATTCAGCATTAGCTAGCTAAAAAGCTTATGTATGCAATACTATACAACTTTCAACAGAGACCAATAACTTAACACTGAGATGCTACACCGGTTGATCCTCTGACTGATTTACCACTCTTAAACACTACGCAGTTCAATATTAACAATCATAACTCATTCATCTCCATTTGGATCTAGAAGAAGACAGAGGAAATAAATTTGGTCATACTACTTGTGTTCTTTGTTTTTCCCAAGAAGTTAAACTTTGAACCAACCAGACAGTATCATTCACGAAAAAGTATAATGCAATACTTCGTCTTAAACTTCAAAGAGTTCATCCAATACCCGGATTTTTTCAGCACAAAACCCAAATCATGTTCTCAGAAAAAGTTGTTCACCCAATTCTAAAACAATTAAACATTCTTGATTTCGTCCAAAAAAAAAACATTCTTGATCAAGCTCTCACCTTTTCAAAATATTGCTTTTAATTTAGTCCATTCTAATCAAAGTATATTATAACCAGTTGCTCAACTTCAAATATCATCCAAATTCCCTATTCATAACATTGCTAAATAAAAAATCCACCATCAAATTCAACCCATGAATCCAAGTAGAGAAAATACAAATACCATGTAGCTGAACAGCATTCACTAGCCATTTTCTATGTTTATTTTCATCCCAATAAACATCACGGGAACTGGAAAAAAAAAAACTAAGGATAAACAAGTACCAGCAAAAGATGTTCATAGACCACCGGTCTTGATGAACCTTCTCCGAGCCAAAAACCTCGACAACGGAGGTGTAAGCGCCAGAGTAATCGGAACCCGAAGGGGAAACAAAGCCTTGTTACAGAGCACAGCCAATGCCAGTGCCCCACCAGTTGAAGCCGCGAGCTCAGCCGTCCGATTCCTCTTCTTTTCCTCAATCACAACCGTTGATGGGCCAATTTCGGAGGTGGGTCTGTCGCGAAACACCGACCCATCGGAGATTTCGGGTGGGTTTTGGGCGCTTTCGTCTTTGGAGGAGACGCTTCCCATGTGAAGCTTGTCGAGGAGCAACTCCACGTCGAGGTTGTTGTTGATGGCTACGTAGAGGCCTGTAATTGAGGCAGCTGAGACTGAGAAATGGACCCCAAGTGCCACCTTGCCGTACTTCTTCAGGAGCTCTTTGAATCGGCCAGCGCTGAGGATGGAAGCCATTGATGGACGAAAAAAAGTTGAGATTTTGCGGAGTCGGTGAGGTTTTTTCGAAAGAATGCTAGGGTTTTTGTGGACTTTAAGGTAAACTGGGTTACTGGGTTTCTTATAATTTTTTGTCAGTTTGATCCTTCTTTTCGGACAAGAAACATGAATAACTTGGTTATGGGGTCAAAGACTCAGCCATTCAAGTGGTTATTGGAGCTCCAAGTGGTTGCTCTTGGGCCTCATTCTACCTTGGTTCTTTTTTTTTTAATCTTTTGGGCCATAATTGGTTAAGGACTACAAGTGGGAAGCCCATGATTGAAGATTGAAGCTTCAATTTTATATATATATATATATATATATATTTTATTTTATTTTCCTCTCCATAAGCTACAGCTACTGCTACAGCATCATACTTAGTTCTTAGGACCAATATCCTTGAGGGCACAGATCTGCTCCTCTCCCATTGCAGACATGACAATCGCCACGAGATCCTTTCCATCAGCAAACCCATCTTTAATCTGGCTAAGCAGACTTTCATCGGTGGGAAGCCTCAGATCATCCTTGGTGTTTCCATTTTCAGTTAAAAGACTCACAAAACCATCTTCAGAGATATCAATCAGCTGGTAGTCGGTACGGTTGACATGAGGAACACCACAGTTGTGGGATGAAGGAACAATATCTTCAAGTTTCTTTCCATTAAAAATATCAATTGCAAAAAAGTGGCACTTTGCATGACCATGCTTGCCAGTTTTTGAAGTGGAGACTTCAACAACCTTGCAAGGCCTGGCCTTGATGACTATGTAACCATTCTTGCGAATGGTACCAGCCTGCTGAGGGTAGGTCTTGGAAGCCCCAGCATCGGCCTTGGATTCGAACTGGTGCTCCTCGTCAGACATCTGTCTCTCTCTGTCGAGCTTAGTAAGCTTCTCTGTTCCTCTTCTTTTTCTTTTCTACCAAAATAACGAAGAGGACTTCAATTTGATTGATGAATATTATTTGTGTATGTGTTTGTTTTTCATCATTAGAGTGGTGTGAAATTCACTGTTTATAGTGAGTTTCACATTTTTTATGTGTGCAAGTTCGACACACTACATTGAACGCACATAAAATTATAATGTAACTTTAGACCATGACTAAATGGTCTAAAATTGATGATTGGTATTATATCGAAAACTAAAGAATTTAATTCAATAGTCGCCACTTCTAACAATGGGCGGCATAACATGTTTTTATAAGTCCGGTTGCTGCTACAAATACTTCTTCAAAATGAAACTGTATTAAATGTTGATTCGAACTGAATTTTAAGATATGTAGATATGTTCTTTGAGATTGCGTCCGCAAGCTTCTACCAAAGTGAACAAATAAACAAATTAAATACTCAAACTAGTGCTTTTTTCCATATAAAACACTGATGCTTCACGTTTCATTAGGAAGATGGTGCAAGTGGAAGGGATTAATATGGCGGTTGTGGAGGTGTAGGTGGTGGTGATGGTCATGGTCATGGTTGTCGAAGCTGACGCCATTCTCTGCGGCTTTAGCTATCTCACTACGCCATCTTGATGGGTTCCTTGTTAGCTCTAGCAAGGAGTCCCTCACATCATCAGCTTCAACCATCTCACTATCCTTTCTCTGTTAACCAACAAATAAATAGGGATCATTTTATATGAGATTGCTTCCTTCTTTTTTTATATGGAAGATGTTACAAAGCCCACTTTTCTCTCAATGCTTTTTTCAACTCTCTCACAAGGTAGGTTGACCTACATGAGTCTCACAATATCACAAGTCTCATATTTTGTGAGGAAACATTTTGTTTACAACAAGTGTATACAACATAGCGTTCATACGCTTACACGTTGATTATGTGACAAATGATTGTAAGAGGAGCAAATGATTGTGTGTAAGAGTTGGAAAAAAAAAAAAAAAGTTGGGTTTTATAAGCCTTCCTTTTATGTACATGTTGAAATGTATTTTCTTAAGCCAGATTATGCTAGAAGAAACTAACCTCTACGACGAAAACATTGGACACGAGGCATCTGAAGCTAGTCACATTGGCATTAATAACTTCCAGGCTTAGAGAGCTCAAAGCCTCCATCAATCTCACAAATCCACCAGGCTTGTGCTCACAGAACACTTTAACAAAGAACTGATTTCCATCTAATTGAGCCACTTCCACTTGGGGCTACAGTATTTTCCCAATTTCTTTGATTATTAGCCAAGAAAGAAAATGAAACCCAAAAGAAAACAAAAACAAAAAAGAAAGAAAAAAGATACTTAAAGAGAGAAGAACACAAGATATATCATATATACCTCCATCTGTTGTGTCTTGTGGTCATGGATAACATCTGAATCTTGGCTTTGTTTGGAGACGCTATCATGTTGATGATCAGTTTTAGGCCCCCCAGGGTCAAGTCCACTTTGAATCTCTGATTGTATATTGTTGTGGTGGCCAGTGATGCCAGAGTTCTTTGGACCTTCATCCTCTGCATGATCATCAAGCTCATCTTGGAGTTGTTTAGCTTGCTTCTGCAACTCCTGCACATACTCGATTGCATCCCCAAGAATGGAAGCCCTGTCCAACTGTGAATCAAAATGAGTTGGCATTAGAAATAAGATGTCACTTTTCTAATAGTAATAACATCAAATGCCAGTTCACAAGAGTTGAGATTGCTAATTGGCTTTTTTCATCTTTTCTTGTATTGTTTATAAAGCTCAAATTGATCGAATACATAAGCGACGTGAGACATGTTTGCATAACATAAACACAAAACAATGAGGTATCAGAAGAAAAGGAGTAAGATGATATAATGGTTACCTTGGAAATATTGGGAACCAGAGCTCTAAGAGCAAAAAGTCTTTCATTAAGCTTCTTCCTTCTCTTTCTCTCAGCAACAAGGTTTTTGGCTTGAGGCACTTTCCCTGCCCTCCTTCTCTGGTATTTTGCATCATCCTCATCATCATCAATCTGATCACTGCAATCTGACAGTCCATCTGCAGCTGGTCCTTCATCATGTAAAATCGAGTCCTGCTTATCATTGCCGTCCTGCTGATCCATGTCTGGTGCTAATGCCTCCATGTATTGCATATGCATGTGTTGTTGTGTCTCATCAGCCATCATGGACCTCTGCATTGCCTCCATCTCTTGAAACCCGTTTTCTGCTGTGCAAATAAATGGGTCCATTTGTTTATCTGAAAGAAATGGTTCATGTGATGAATCTCCATAAGAAACATCAATACTACTCTTGGTTCTGTTTCCCAAGTTGTAATTAGTAAATTGCTGCAAGAATTTGATTGGAGAATTGCTTATTGTACCCATGGAGACATCATATGGTAGGTTCAGATTATCTAACTTCGAACAAATTCTAGAGGAAAGGGGTGGCTGGAAATGAACATTGTTGATATCCATTTGATCATTTCCATTATCTAAGAGGTTCTTTGATTCGATTTCACTCATTATACTCGTACCGGTTATGTTATCGAGGGTGTCCTGCTCCATTGAGATGCTGTATTGGGCTGTGATAAAATCAATAACATGCTGATCTTCAAATACCTTCTGTCACAGAAAACAGAACAATTAATACATTCTCAATGTGAGAGTTTTATTACCATGCAGTAGATCATTTCTTTCAGATAATGAAGGAAAAGGCTGTACTTTATTGCTCATACAAAATGTGCATGATTGTGGTAAAGATAGACAAATGAGAATTAAAGAGCAATGGAAACATTACTTGTTTGGTAACAAGCAGCTCAATTAATCCTCCTGGTATTGGAATCAAAACCTTGGTACCAACTGTTTCCTGCAATTGTAAATTGGAAAACTATGAGCTCAATACTAAAATTGCTTTCTCTTTCGGAAATAGGAGAAAGAAGCTGAGTGGTACTTGCCTCTAGAGTACTTAAACATGTGTTATTAGAGAAGTTTAACCAACTGGGTTGGTTTGATATCAAGGTCTCTGCATAAATCCTGTTCATAATCATGAGCTCTCATGGTTAACTAATTTAGATATATCAAAGAAAGTATCGCACCAGATTTTTCAACTGAGCTCGATATGAAAAGGGCATGTTATATTGCTAGATTGTTAATTCTGATCATACACATTTAAACAAGATTCTTTCTTATCGATAGTTCAGATTGACAGTTCCATAACATATATAACACGTCACAACGTCTAGCAACATAGTATGCCAGACCGTCTCGAAAGAGAAAATTTCTTATATATATATGAAAGAAATGAGGGATAAAGTAGAGAAAGGATAACCATGTAAATAGGTGCATACCCGGAGTCTAGGGGTAGAGAAGAAGGCATTTTGGCAAGAAGATCACAAGCTGTGGTTCTTGGATGCTGTAACATGGTATCCCTACAAGGAAGGACTGGAGGGAAAAGAAGATCTTGTCCAGCATCATATTGGGTGATTTCAGTCCCCGAACAGCAACAATCCATCCACTCAATGAACCTAAAAATTAAACAAACCCCAAAGTCACACACATATATATTTGTGACAGGAAGAAATTGACAGATTATAGTTTCTTATACCTTTGGTCTTCACTCAGTTTCCAGATAACACAGTAGTCCCAGCCTTTCAAACCCACAAGGGATCTAAGTCTCTGTATGAGGCTTGGCATTATCATCATGATGTTCATTCCACCTACAAGGATTGATTTTAAAACATTTATAAATAAAAATCAAGCCTAAACGAGGAACAAATTAATTAAAATTCCAACAGTTAGCTAGAGTACTAGTAGCTAAGAAGAAGAGAGAGAGAGAAAGAGACCTGAAAGATGATGGTTTGAGGAGTGCTTGGTCTTGCTTGGGAGATGAAGGTGGCTACTGCCTCTTTTGACTGAACAAATTAGCAAGAAAAACAAAACGAGGATGGAAGAAGAAACAAAGAGAGAGATCCATACAAACTTCAGTTGATAGCAATAGTTAACTGCTGCACCATCATCATATTCATATCCAAAAGCTAGACTAGATATAACACCCCATCTCAGCAAACTCACAACAAAACAAAAATTTCTATATCTGGTACATATATTTTTGGAGCTTGGAGTAAAATCAAGAAGAAAAACAATTGGGTCCTCGCTGCATTTCAGAAAATGTATCTTTTTATATGGAGAGAACTTGGTAGGTGAACTGCAGTCCATGCATGAGTGTGAGATAGAGCTTATTAATTAATTCTTTTTTTTTCTTTTTTTTTTTTGAAAAAGACTTCCCTCCTTCTCTGTAAGTAGGAACTCCTAACATTCATATCAGGGGCAGTTTGACATGTATGCAGAAGTTTTTCTTTATGGGTTTTTGATAAATTATTTTTGCATATGTGTCAAACTGTGATATGCAGGAATGAGGAGTTTTTTCTTTTCGGGAATGAGGCAAGCAGTATCTTTAATGAATTATTATTATTATTATTTTGGTATTTATGTTAATGATGGCAGGAGCATATTGCATGAGCTAATATAGCGTACAAAATGCTAACTAACTTTGCAAAAGTTTTTCATTCGTTTCGGTTTGGTATATGTATTTGCTCATGTTTCAACTACTCTAAGGCTTTAAACTAAAAACGGAAACCATGCATCAGCAATTCATCAAACAGGTGGTGAACAAAACGCGGGCTCTGCTGTCCCCCATTTACATGAAATGGCCAACAGTCCACAACAAAGCTAGCTACGTATGAAATTGAAGCTAAGGCTTCCACAGAGAAAAACTCTTTTGAGACGTCTTGACGTAGAACAAACATTTGGGCTTTGCCGTGACATATCAGCTTTTTAGGCTAAATAATTTTGTTCGCTAGGTCAAAAAATACCATTTTAAATGTTGAGGGTATTTTTGGAATTTTGTAGTTTCATCTTTGGCTTCCAATCCAATAAGACTTCTTATTAGAGCATCTACTTTCGAGATGTCAAATGCAAAATGTTAAATTTGAATTTGATGTCTTATGTGCAATTTGACATTTTGGAAAAAATTTAACTCTATCCGAAATGCCAAATATCATATTATTTTATTATATATTTTAAAGCAAATGGGGCCCATATGATACATAAAGTTTTAAAAGAAAGTAAATGATAATGCATGATTAAAATAATATTTGACATCAAGCTTTTTGATATGTTATTTTTGACATATCTCTTCTAGCCTTTAAATCCATGTAAGATTTGACTAATCTATTGGAACAACTTTAACATTCAATTTTTGTCATTTTCATTGTCCATGTGACAATTTAACATATTAGCTAGAGATGCTCCAAGTGATGCTAGAGTTTGAGCTAGTATTAAAAACAATGGTAGCTTTCTGATTAGAGTTGTTATTCCCATTACTTTTCAATAAGCTTTGAGATTTTTCTCCACAAAAAAAAAAAAAATTGGTGAACTTTAGACTATGTTTTAAAGCTATTGGTTCCAGCCCAATGGTAAATGACCTTTATTTATTAGTGGTCTCAAGTTCAAACCCTCATGGCACATTGGTAGTGAGTGAAAAAACCACCGCATCCTTCCTTACTTTGGCCCCAAAAAAAGCTATTGTTTAATTGTTTAATTGCTTTTGCTTACTATGTCGTGTCACATTAACTAACAATTAATCAAACACCATTAACTAACAATGTCACTCATCGGTAAACTCAAACGTAGAGTAGTGTGTTTGTCCATCACTTTGCATTTGAGTTCGATCCTCCTTCCCCATATTATTGTAGTTTAGACAAAGTAACAGTAACACCGTGAAGCATGTTTAGTACTGAAAACGACCATTCTACCGCTTAATTATAGGAAAAGTGAAAGAAACTGAATGTGCCTAATTAATTGATACATAACTAGTAGCTAGATTAAGCTCAATTAATAATTATAAAGATGTTGGAGGTATGAAGAAGCATGGTAGTTGTGGAGATTGTGTTGCTGGTAATGATGTTGATCATCATGATGAAAGTGATCCAATCCACTCCCATTTGCTGATGCTTTTGCTTTGGCCATCTCAGGCCACACTTTTGATGATGGGTTCCTTGTTATCTCCAGCAAAGAGTCCCTTACATCATCAGCTTGAACTACTTCACTGTCTTTCTTCTGCATAACCAGACATAATATAAGCTAATATTAAGGGAAATTTATATAAATACCACCTAAATTTTAAGGCAAGTGCACGATTACCACCTACCTCTAACTCCGTTAAAGTTTCCGTTAAGTCAAGTCACAATCAAAATCAAAATCCTAATTAATCTTATTTGATAAGGTTAACTTATTATTACCTCAACTTTAAAGACATTGGAGACAAGGCTTCTGAAGCTGGTCACATTTGCATTGGTTACTTCCAAGCCTAAAGTATCCAATGCCTCCATCAATCTCACAAACCCTCCAGGCTTGTGCTCACAGAACACAGTCACAAAGAATTCATTGCCATCTAACTGAGTGACTCCCACTTGTGGCTGCAATTTTTTGTCCAAAAAATATATAATTTATTTTACATCCAAATATATAAGAATAAAATAAGATTTTATATTAAGTCTATATATGTACCTCCATCTGTTGTCCTCTGTCATTTGTACCCTCTGAGTCCTGTTGCTGCTTTGAGATGTTGCCAATATCACCTAATCTGCCCACATGAAATCCATCTGGAGGCTTATCATCATTTTCTTGCTTGTTTGTAATGCTTGTTCCATTTTGATTTAGAATCTCTGGTTGGAAATTGTTGTGGTTTCCACAGATATTGGCACTAGTTTTCTTATTAGGTCCTTCATCATTTGAATGCTGTTCAAGCTCATCTTGGAGTTCCTTTACTTGCCTCAGCAAGTCCTTCACGTAATCAATTGCGTCCCCGAGGATGGCAGCCTTGTCCATCTGAGAATCAACATGAGTAAGCATAAGATGCTGCTGAAGGGTTCATGTTTTTCTAATCACATTAACTATGATCTCAACTATTAATCAACATATCAAGTGCCACATGAGAAAATGTGGTTCATCTAGCATTACTTTTCTGTGTTACTTTCCTATTGAAAATGCTACTTTGAGAAAGAGCCGGGAAATTATACTAGGTTCTGAAGAGTTGGAAAAAATAAGGCCAATGATGATCATCACCTTAGAAATGTTGGGAACCAAAGACCGAAGGCGATACAGTCTTTCGTTGAGCTTCTTCCTTCTCTTCCTCTCTGCAAAAAGGTTTTTGGATTGAGGCCCTTTCCCTGTTCTCCGCCTATATTTTGTGTCATCTTCATCGTCAATTTGATCACTGCAATCTGAGCCTGAATTATCTGCAGTTCTTCCACCCTGGGCATCATGTTTAACTGAATCTTGATCCTCAACACCCTGCTGCTCCATATTTTCCATTGCCTCCATAACATGCATACTATTGTGCATGTTCGGTGCATCAGCATCAGCTTGAAGCCCCATCTCTCCCAAGGACTCATGTGAACGCTGCTCATGGTACAGATTACTATTACCATTCTTCATGCAGTTCTCTGAGTTGTAAGTGACACGTTGTAGGAAATTCATTGGAGAAGCGCTGCAGAGGCGGATTCGATCAACTGATATGTCGTATGGCACATTAGAATCATGATCCACTGAAGGGGAAACAACAGGTGGCTGCTGGAAATGATTACTGTTTAGATGATCATTTCCTTCATTCTCATTGCCTGGAAATGCATGTGGTTGTATTTCAGTGCTCATGTCATTTATATTGACAGGGAAGCTTGTATTGCAGCCAGCACCAATCAGGTTGTCTTGCTCCTTTGAAATGTTGCATTGGGCTGTGATATAATCAATCACTTGTTGGTCTTCAGAGACCTGTGAATTTGACAGTTACCAAAAACAAACTATTTGTGAGAGAGGTGACCAAATTATTTGTTTCAAATCTAACAAAAGAAATTAAGGAAGGTTTGAGAGAAGCATCATAAAATATCACACATCTTTGGAGACAAACAGCTCAATCAACCCTCCTGCACTTGGAACCAAAACTCTGGTCCCATCTCTTTCCTACAAAATGTAAGTAGAAGTATATAGTTACATTTCATTATATGTTCAGAAAAATGACTTTCTTTTGGAAATAGCTAGGAAAATGGGAAGTTGAGCTCACTGCCATGGCACTTGAATCTCTGTTAGAAGATGAGTTCAACCAAATGGGCTGGTTTGATATTAAGGGATGTGCATAAATCCTGCTCATGAGCAGCCATGGTTAATGATATAAAAACACTAAATAATTTCTTTTGTCGAGATATGTATGGTAATTAAAAGGATTTATAGGTACCCAGAGTCTAAGGACAGAGAAGAAGGAAGCTGGGCAAGAACATCACAGGAATTGGTTCTTGAGTGCTGCATTGTATCTCTGCATGGAAGGACTGGATAAACTGGAAAAAGAAGTTCTTGTCCTCCATTAGTCTGAGTGTTCTCATCAGCCCCAGAACAACAACAATCCATCAACTCAATAAACCTAAAAAAAATTAACCAATCTAAAAATTAGTCACAAAAAGAAAACATGAATTAGTAACAGTTAATTAAAAATTTCCTCTTAACCTCTGGTTTTCACTCAATTTCCAAATAACACAATAATCCCAGCCCTTCAAACCCACAAGGGGTCTAAGCCTCTCAGTCAAATTTTGCATAATGATGATCATGCCTCCTGCAATAATTAACTGCAAAAGACCAGTGGA